CACTCACTTACCTTTGTTCGTTTCGTTTACCTTTAATTAGAGCACAGGAAATAGATTTTGGAAGAGGAAATCATTTGTAACCGCTAGAAAGATCTTGGTGCCTGTGGTTCTTTTCTTTTCTTTCATTTACCACCGAACCCTGTTAACGCCTGGTCTGGATAACACTCGTCTTTTCATGAGTCTTACCGCTGGAGCTGGAACTAGATGCATGAGTCTTCTGTCTTCATCTCCAAGTCTTATTCCGTTCGTATTTTGGCTTCGTTTAAACTAAATAAAACACGCATTCTTTGTTTTTATTTAATTTAAAATAGCCAAAAGACTCTCTTCTCGTTTCACTCATCTTTCCCTTGTCTTCCAATGGCTGCCGTGTGGTTCCTTCTCGTGCTCTTTTCTTTTAATTAAATTTAACGTAATGAAATGAAGTGAAGAGCGTAGTGAAAGCACGGTTAAATTTAATGAAAGAAAACGAAGCACGAAATAGAACCACGTGAAAAGAGCAAAGGCAAAGTGAAAAAAGAGAAACAAAGCGTGCGTCATTCATTCTTCTTTTCTTACCTTTTGTTTCACTCATTTCCTTTGCCTTTAATCTTTTCCACTTGTATCTGTTGAGATTAGTTATTTCGTTCCCAAAGGCCCTAATTAAATTAATTAAACACGCGCTTCTTTTCATTACGCTTGTTTTAATTAATTTAACCGCTGGCCTTTATTCACTTCATATTTTAACACCAGGCATTAACAGTCGGGAAGGCAGGAGTCGTTCATGAGAAAAAGGCCAATTTTAATTGAATAAAGATAAGGCCAAAGAACGCATGCTTTATTCAGTTTACTTTAGGCTCTTTTCCCATTCCATTCCACCATTTCCTCTCTAAAGGGAATCAATCACAGTCTTTTCCTCCTATAATGTGATGTAATGGATGACCTAAATTTGTAATGGAAATTGTAATGGAATGAACGAATACACAGAACCCAGAAAATAAGAAGATAATAATGTAATGTCAAGATACGACCATAAGATAGAAAGTTGTCTACAGGAAATTGACCACCTATCCAAATAAAAGAAATAAGTGAAAGAAACCAAAAGCACAGATAAAAACCATTAAATCTACTGGATGTCTTAATTATAAAATAGAATGACATTGAAAGACTTCTCATAAAGTAAAATAGTATGAAGATAGAAGTAAATAAGATAATGAATCCTGCATTTTTATTTGGTACAGCTTTTAACATAGCATATTGGCATAAGAAATACCATTCAGGCACTATATGTAAAGGAGTAAGTAATCCACATGCTTCTAATGCATTATCTGGATGTGAGAAAGAAGATAAGCCGAAATGAATTTGAAGAAGATATAGATAGAGAATTAATATCTTTCCATAGAAATCTTTACTAATAATGAAAGGAAAAAATGCTATTTTATTATTAGTGGAATTCCTTAAAGGATTATTAGAAGATAGAAAATGTAGATTAAAAATATGAAAAAGAAGAAAAGCACAAAGAAGAAATGGAAATAGAAAATGAAAGACAAAGAACCTCTTTAATGTTGGATTGTAAATATAATGTCCTCCACAAAGCCATTCTATTAAAGATGGAAATGGAGATAATAAATTTGTAATTACTGTAACTCCTCATAAACTCATTTGTCCTAAAGGTAAAACATAACCCATAAATGCTGTTCCCATTAAGAAGAAGTAAATAATAATTCCAGAAAACCAAGTATTTGGATTATAAAAATATGAAGCATAAGATATAGCTCTTCCAAGATGTAGAAATATAAAAAGAAAGACAAATGATACACCATTAGAATGAAGATAACGTAAACACCATCCATAATATATTTCTCTAATTAAAAAGAAAAGAGAAAAATATGCTGAATTAATATCTGATGTATAATGTAAACCTAAGAAGATTCCTGTAATAATTTGTAATAAAATAGTAATTCCTAATAAAAAACCAATATTCCAAAAATAATTTATGATCAAAGGACAAGGATATGATTGTAAATGAGATTTCATTAGTAATAAGAAGGGAAGAGAGCTAAATTTAACTATAATTAAACACGCTTCGCTTCAATTCTTTCGCTTCATTGTTTTAATTAAGTTAAATTAGCTCACTTTCCCACTCCTTTAATATGAATGAAACAAGGACACCACAGTAAGATAATAAGGAAGTGGGAAGATAAAGAGGGAAATGTCCAAAAGGCGGAAGCGAATGAGCCGACAAGGGAACGAAATAGATTATAGAATTTCCTAAAAGCAAATGAATGGAATAACCGCAAAGTAAACAACAGAAGATTCCATGAGAAATAGGTCGTTTGTTTCATTAAAATATACCATTATAAAATAGATGATAGAAAGAATGCATTGATTTCGTTCTTATTTTGTTCATTTGTTCCCTTCGTTTCACGCATTCTTTGTAAACGAAAAGAACAAATTCAACAAAATATTCTCTTCATGGTCTTTATTTCTAAAGGTTTGGATTAGAGGACAGTGAGCGAGAGAAAGCCACAATTATAATGTTGTTCCCGATTCCCTTCTTTGTCTTACTTTCTTCACATTCCATTATTCATTTCTATTTCTTCACTCCGTTCTCTCATAATATATAATGGAAACCGTCCTTAGAGCTTGGATTGAGTCTTCTTAGCGTCTGGGAGCCAACATCCTTGAATCACTTAATTAATATCTTGGGCTTGTGGCATTCCGGAGATTCCATTAGTGATCTAGGTGGTGAGAGAGGAAAGCACAATGAATCTTGGAAATCCTCATCATTTATTATTGGGTCTTGGTGTGACAGGAACGGAGCCTCAATTAATAAAGGTCAGTCTTAATGGTATGGTGACTCATGAAGGTTGGGTTATTAATGTTAATTCCCATTGTATCCCTTTAATATCTTGAGGGATTCTATAGCCTTAATATCTAGGTCATATTATTCTACAGGATTTCTCATTCTATTCTTTCACTTTCCATTTCTATAATTAATAATGATGGAATTCTCGCTTATTAATAGTTGAAGGCAAAGGTAAAGAACTAAGCCTATAAAGATAAAGGGTGAGATTTGTACTGGAAATAAGGATGAATAACCAAGATAGGAAGATAGAAAGATAAATCCCGGCTTATTAATAAAGGAGAATATTACCGAGATTAATTGAACAGAATGAAGATAAACTGATCCTGATGATGAAGAGAAAGCCTGGTGTTTTAGGTTGAGATTGTACAGGAGATTTACTATCTTCATCCTTTCTTCTAATCTCGGTCTTCTTTCATTCACCAAGATCATGAAGCAACCTTCTCCTTTAATATCCATTCCAGCCTTAATGGTATAATCCTAGTTGTTCCTGACGCCTTTAGAGAGATAGAAACGTACCAAAGAGCCACCATTACACCTCCAATAATAAGGATCTTTTGCCCTCATTCTATACCCATAAAGCTACCTTCCTTGACAGTGTATGATGAGGCTGGGATGGCGGTGAAAGAGACCTGGAAAATAAGGAAATTAAGATGCATTATTATTTATTGAGGCCTTCCTTCATTGACAGGCTAAGAGATTCCGTTAATAATATGAAGATAAAACCGTGATTACAAAGAAGGGAACTATAAAGTGAGGTATGAATTAGATGACACGGCCTAGAAGATAAAGGGATGGATTTCCAAGATATTAAATAAGAAGTCTAAGACGTGAAAGGTTTCTATGATATTAAATTTACAGGATTATATGAAAGAAGAAATAAATAATAAATTCTTAGTCTTTTAGCTCTATAATATTCTCTTAGTCTTTATGGTAATTAATTTCTCTCATTAAAGGAAATCTTTCTCGGAATCTTCTAATCCTTGTAGTTCATTATTATATTCCTATAGCCTTCTTTGACCAGGATGAACGGTTTCCATTCCTTTCATCTCTTAATTTATAATAATGGAAACCGTGTCCTTTAATAATAGGTTGAGATTTCCTTCTTTATCTTCATTCTAATGGTATGAATGGTATATTTTAATAAGGGAAATCGTGAGTCATTTAATAATATGAAGATAAAGAAGGGGAAATGTAATAATATGAAGAGAATATAGAAATTAAATTAGAAATCTCTTCTCATAATGGTAAATAATATCTCCTTTAATAATAAGGAACAACAATTGTCTTTATTTCCATTCTATTTTTCTATTCGTACAAAGACAACAATAATTAATAATTCCTGCATCATAATTTCCAAGGTTATAGACGGTTAAATCTAGACGACAGAGAGAAACTTCATCATCAATATCAGTGTTATAATAGGTGGAATCTTGGGTCTAATCTTACCTTTAATGAGAGCGGTTACCATTAATTATTTAAAGAGGATGAATATAGCCTTGAATGTGAAGTAACCGCTCCTAATTATGCCTGGTTTCGTTCATACCGTTCGTATTTTGTTCATTTAATTTAATCACGCTTCCACTCTCACTGCGTTCCGTTACATTGTATTAAATTAAATAGAACAATACACGAACCATTCATTCCCTTCCTATTCCTCCTACAATAAGAACGGTGTCTGTCATTAGCCGTTACGTTCCTATCTTGGTAATCTTGGTATAATAGAATATCCTAGTGTCTGTCTTCCTATCTTGGTGGTGTAACTCATTAAAGGATACCAAAATACCAGGCTTTATTAACAGGCTAGGAGATCTACCATTCCATTCCTTTAACTTCCAGACGCTAGACTCACTTCTCTCTCTATAATCCCCTGTGACTCACTGACTGAAGGCATCATAAGGGTGTGTTCGTTCCTTTGTTTCTTGCGTTTAATTGTAATGAAATGAGTGAAAGGAATGAAAGCACGAATTAAACGAAAGAGAACGTTTCCCTGTTAATCCATTCCTATAATCTCCTTCCTGACTCACCTTCCTTTATGACCTGGATATAATGGTAGATCCTGATGTTGTTGTTCCTGACCTTAATTTCTATCTTCACTTCATGCTTTCATTTCCCTCTGTACCCTTTCCAAGCTTGAGCCGACAGTAAGAAATAGAACCTGGAAAGCGAGGATGGATTCCAAAGGCCACCGTGACTCAATGACTGAGGGGTTACCATTCCTATAGCTTTGTGACTCAAGATATGAAGCCTCTACCGTCTAGAATCTTCGCACTTCATTCATCATCGTTTCCCTAATTCTATTTCTCTTGTCATAATGGTGAACGGAATCAACAGAAAGGGAGTCATTCTTCGTTACCCTACATTCCATTGCCTTCATATTATTAAATGAGTTCAGTTTTATCTTAATGGTATGGTGTCCTAAGGTTGAGATATTAAAGGAATGGCATAATGATAAATCCACATTATTATCTTCTTATTAGAAATTAATATTAATTATTATTCTCTCTTCGTATCTTGAGTTATTAAACGAGACATGAACGATTAGTGGGAAGGAAATGAGATCTTATTTAATGAAGAGAATGTACCTTGCATAATGATATTAAAGAACAGGAATTACGTTTATTTTATTTCAATTTCTGGTATCTCTTCAATGGTCTTTTTCCTTTCGTATTTATAATTAATTCATAACTCCTTTAATAATATAATAAGAAGTGAGAATATTGTTAATTGAATTAGAAATAAAGAACAATAAATGGAAATAGAAAGAAGTGAGATTAATTATATTTCTCTTCTTGGAATTCTTAATATTAATAAGCCAGGTATTCTCTTTATCTAATGGAAATTGTGGATCCTGGAAATAAAGGGAAACCGCTCTTCATATATTGGATCTAATCTTTACAGTATTCTCCAAAGGCTATATTCCTTTAATATTGGACCTTTAGAAATAGAAATAAGACCGGGAATTAATGATTGGAAGAAGGGTAAAGGATTAAAGGTATGATGGATTTCCAGAGATTGAATAGATGAAAGAAGGAACACAATTAATTATTTATCTTTTATTCGGTTTATCTTTATTTCCTGGTACTTTTTATCTTTATATTTAGAGAATGTAATAGTCAACGAGGATTCTCTTTATGCATTAGGAGATTACCTATAATGAAATAAGCCTCACGGTACGTTCATCATTTATTATTAAAGCACAAGAAGCATGCCATTGATTCGGCTCTCCTTTAATGAGTCACGATGCCTTGATCACCTAATAATATGAAATAAAATATAATTGGAAATCTCACCGTATCTTCTTTCTATTTTCGGTCTTATTCCTTTCATATTATTATCTTACGACCGAAAGGCACCAATTAAAGGCATCAGTCTTCCTGTCACGGCTCATTCATCATTAACACCAGGACACTTTCTTCATTCATTCCATTCTTCATAATTATCTAGACCAAAGAGAACAAGAATCATGAAGGGAACTGACATTATACCTTTAGGAAATTAAGAGAATGGAAATAGACGAGAGAATTTATTTTACGAAGAGAATTCTATCTTCATATTAAGGGTATGGAAGGCATGGAATCACTCATCAAATTCTATCTTCATATTAAAGGACAAAGTTTACCAGTTATAATTATGAGAAGAGATTTCAACTATCTTTAATGAGCGGGAAGATAGAAATTATAAGAGAATAAAATAATGAACGAGAAGAGATTTCATTATGAGTGATTCCTAAAGAGAAGATTGAGTCTAATTTAATGAGATAAAATTTAATATTATTCTCTTTCCATATTTCCATTATCTTAGGCTTTTAGGAAGATAGAATGTGAGGTGGTAAAGTAATAAGACTGAAGATAATGTTTCGTTCCTTTAATATTTAATTCCTGGTGTTTCCCTTCATTCATCCTCCATTCCTAAAGGTCAAAGCAATCCTAATAAGATAAAATAATTACCAGGATGTGTGAAGAAGGGAAACAGAGTGAATGAAGCTAGACAATTAGATGACAGAGAAGAGAGGGAGATTACAACTAAGATTAACTCCTATAATTAATCTACAGGAATGAGTAACTGACATAAGAGAACCACCATTATCTTATCTTCTTCTATTCTTTGGCTTTCTATTTCTATTCTTTCTTCTATATCCTGGTACTGTTTCACCCTTTATAGTTAGGTATAGAAATAGAAATAAGAAACGAAAGATATTAATGGTTGTGTGTTTCTCTTATTTAATTCTTTTATTCTTTGTTCTAATTAAAATAAAAGGGCAAGTTTACGCGCGCCTTAATTTTAATTGAACAAAAAGCACAATAAGATTTCCCGTTCGTGGTTTATTTCTATTCAATTAACACAATGTAATAGAATGAAAGCGTGGTTAATTGAAAGAGAAATTAAACACGAACCTCTTTTCCTTTGTTCTGTTTTGTTTCATTCCGTTTACACGCGTCACTCTTCACTTCCTTGCCAACGGAATTAAACAAAGCAAACAAAAGGAAAAGGGAACAAGCCAGGCACTGTGTCTAATGGTTCATGAAGGTAGCGTCTGTGGTTGATCTTGGTGTAGCTGGTTTCCTCTGTCTCTAGGAGTTAATCTGTTGAGTCGTGAAGGTAACAGCCAGGATGGGAGAATGAAGGGCGTGTTCCTTGTTTATTTAAATTAAACAAGACACACGAACGAAATGATCTTGATGAATGAAGAGAAATTCCGTTCGTATGTGGCTCATTTAAATTAAACAAAGCACGCATCACTTCATTACTTTGTCTTTGTTTAATTTAAATTAAGCCACATTACTCTCTTCATATCTTTGTAATCTCGGTATAATGGAAAAAGGCTCAGATTTAATTGAATTAAACATAACGCAGTGTAGAGTGAAGAATGAACGTAACGAGGCATGGTTTAATTCAGTTAAATCTGGGTCTTTTTAACACAGCGGCGCTTCATTCTTTTTATTTCTCTTTGTTCGCGCCGCACATTTATTTCTTTCCCGTGTTTGTTTAATTTAATTAAAAGAAGCGTGCTTTCATTACCTTCTTTTCAATTAAATTAATAAAAACACACCACAAAGATAGAAACACTATCTTTTTATCATCTTGGAATCCTCTAGCCTTATTTCCTGATACATTCTAAGCTTGGGAAAAAAGACCTAATTTAATTAAATAAAAGCGTGCGTTCCTTACCTTTTATTGTATTAAATTGGTCTTTTCCCATATCCTGTTCCTGACTCCTATATTTCCTGGAGACAGTGTTAGAGCTTGGAGACCGTGTAATCTTGGAGACAGTCATAAGCTTAGAAACCGTTCACATCTTGGCTTTCTACATCCTGGTATCCTTGGCCTTTGGTATAGGTTGATCTTGAGTTCCTATCTTGGAGACAGAACCTTTTGACTGAGAGCTAAAGCCTGAATTCATTATTAAAGTTGGGTCTTTATTTCCTGATACATTTATTCCCGACACAATAATTCCTGGAGACCGTTCACATTCTGGAGACAGTGTATTCTTGGTAATGGTTGGTTCCTGATTCTATAGCCTTGTCTTGGAGAGCCTGAATTAATTGTATCGGGAACAAGGTTGATCTTGAGTCTTTATTTCCAGGGCTTCAGAATCTTGGAGAGCCATCATTTCATTAGACACAGTGTTTGGTAGAATCCTAAGGCCTGGAAATCCATTATCTTAGTGTTAGGAATATGGTCAATCTTGGGAACTGTCTTTATGGTAGCTTAATTCCTGGAAACAGTGTTATGGTAGCTTAATGGTTGAGTCATGAAGGTAATGGGAACGGAATCAATCATCTTGGACACCGTGACCTGAATTCATTATTAGACACAGTGTTTGGTATAGGTTGGTAGGGTTGGAAAGGGTTCCCAGTTCCTGACACCTTTAAGCTTAGAGACACAGTTCCTGATACATTCTAAGGTTGGTGTAAGAGAAAAAGACCAATTTAATGTAATAAAACACAAGGGTACGCGTGGTTTTATTATATTAAATTTGGTTCTTTTTCGTTCGTGGTTCGTTTTTTGTTTTCTTTAAATTAAACCACGCATTCACTTCTCTCATTTGTGTTTAATTTAAATAAAAACAAACAACGAAGCATCCACGAACCCTTGACATTAGACACTGAGAATACCACCATAATGACAGTCTCCAAGGCCTTTGGTAACGGTCTAATGGTAGGTAAGGTTGGTAAGGGAAGGAAGAAAAAGGACCCAATTTAATTTAATAAAACACAACGCAGTGAAATGAAAAGAAGCGAGGCGTGGTTTTATTATAATTAAATTGGGTTCTTTTTCCCTTCTTTTGTTTCAATTATTTTGTTTCTCTTTTATTCGTTTAGTTCACGCACTTCGCTTCTCTTCATTTGTAACTAAACGAAACAAGAGAGCAAAATAAGGGAACAAAAGACCACAGTTGATGATTCATAGACTTGGAAATTAAGGTGAAGGAACAAAAGACTAAACTAAACTAAACAAAGATAAGGGAACGCATGCTTTGTTTATTCGTTTTGTTTAGTTCTTTTGTTTCGTTCACATTTCGCTTCTTTCGTTCCCATTTTTCACGCATTTCATTTGTAAAAATGTAAACGAAGGTAAGCGAAAAGGGAACGAACCACCTTCATTTCCAAGTCATTGAATCAACACACGACATCCAGTTCATGATTCCAGCGTTTCTCTTATTTAATTATAATTGAATTAAAGCAATGGAAGGCAACTGAAGCGCGTTTAATTCAATTAAATTAAAACGGAACCACTGGAATGGAGGATGTCGTGTGGTCTTTTGTGGTGGTGTGTGTTCTTTATTTACAATTAAACCACGCATCCACTCTGTTCCTTTGTGTTTAATTGAAATAAAGAGAACACCACCATTAAGCTTGGAAACAGTTGGAAAGAAGGGAAAAGGACCAAATTTAACTAATAAAAGACAAGTGAACAACGCGTGCTTTTGTTTAGTTTAATTTGGCCCTTTTCTCTCTTTGTTTTTTACCTTTGCTTTCTTCTCGCTTCACTCATTCTTCGTTACATTGAAAGAAAGCAAAGTTAAATAAACAAAGAGCCTTCTTTATCTTCCCATTCAGTTACTTTTGACTCATGGCCGAACATCCTGGAACTTGGAGCCCTTAATCATATTGTGTGTCTAATAATGAATTCAGGTCACGGTGTCCAAGATGATTGATTCCGTTCCCATTACCTTCATGACTCAACCATTAAGCTACCATAACACTGTTTCCAGGAATTAAGCTACCATAAAGACAGTTCCCAAGATTGACCATATTCCTAACACTAAGATAATGGATTTCCAGGCCTTAGGATTCTACCAAACACTGTGT